AAGGCTCCAGGAGGCCCCAAGAGGCCCCAGGAGGCCCCAGGAGGGGGCAGGAGGCCTAAGGAGGAGGCAGGAGGAGGAGGAGGAGGAGGAGGAGGAGGAGGGGGGGGGGAGGAGGGGGGAGGAATATGGAAACGAGGAGGAGGAGGAGGAGGAGGAGGAGGAGGAGGACGGATGAGGGAGAGGGAGAGGAGGAGGACAGGGGATGAGGAGGAGGAGGAGGAGGAGAAGGGAGAGGGAGAGCAGGAGGAGGAGGCAGGAGGCAGGAGGGGCAGGGGGAATGGGGGGGAGGAAGCATAACGAGGGGGAGGGGGAGGAGGTGGAGGAGGCAAGAAGAGGAGGAAAAGGCAGGGGTTGAGGCAGGAGGAGGAGCAGACAGGAGGAGAACGAGGAGGCAAGAGTAGGTGGGAGAAGGGAAGGGGCAGGAGGATACCCCGATGCAAACTAAAGAGATTTTCATGCGGGGTCCTTCCGTCGGAGTAATTTTTCAGCCACTACCATTCCTTCAACTACTACTACTACTACTACTACTACTACTACTACTACTACTACTACTACTACTACGACGACGACGACTAGTATTACTACTACTACTACTACTACTACTACTACTACTACTACTACTACTATTACTGCCACCAGTACTACTACGACTACGATTATTACTACTACTACTACTACTACTACTACTACTACTACTACTACTACCACTACTATTACCACGACTACTACTATTAGTACCACCACTACTACTATCACTACTACTACTACTACTACTACTACTACTACTGGTATTTCCCGTACTACTACTATCACTGCTACTACTACTACTACTACTACTACTACTACTACTACTATCACCACTACTACTACTACTACTACTACTACTACTACTACTACTACTACTACTACTACTACTAGTACTACTATTTCTACTACTACTTGCATTTCCAGTATTACCACTACTATTAGTACCACCACTACTACTATCACTACTACTACTGGTATTTCCAGTACTACTACCACTACCGACACCATTACTACTACTACTACTACTATTACAACTACTACTACCATTACTACTACTATCACTACTGCTGCTACTACTACTACTACTACTACGACGACTGCTCTTACTACTACTACTACTACTACTACTACTACTACTACTACTACTACTACTACTACTAGGACTACTACTACTACTACTACTACTACTACTACTACTACTACTACGAGGACTACTGCCACTACTATTACTACTACTACTTCTACTACAACTACTACTCCTACTACGACTACAACCACTACGACTACGAGTACGACTACTCCTACTACTGTTGCTACTAATACTTCTACTACGACGACGACGACTACTACTACTCCTACTACTACTACTACTACTACTACAACTACTACTACTACTACTACTACTACTACTACTACTACTACTACTACTACTACTACTACCTACCTACTACCATCAGTATGTCCACCACTATTACCACTACTACGATTATGTCTACAGCTGCTACTTCCACTACTGCTACATCTAATGCTACTACGACTACCACTACTACGACTACAAATGCTACTACTACTACTACTACTACTACGCCTACTGCTACCACGACCATTACTATTATTACTGCTACTACGGCTACGACTACGACTAGTACCACTACGTATACTACTACCACGACTACTTGCACTCCTACAACTAGTACTACTACTACTACTACTACTACTACTACTACTACTACTTCCACGCTCACCAGTACGAGTACTACGACTACTACGACTACCACTGCTACGACTACTACTTCTACTGCTACGGCGACTACTACTACTGCGACCTATTTCTACTACTACTATTTCTATTCCTACATTCGACGACTCTCGCGAATACTACGGCTACGGCCACCACTACTACTACAACTACTGCTTGTACAACCACTACGACTTGCACTACTACTTTTACCACTATTACTTGCAAGACCATGACTACCATTACTACTAGTACTACTACTACTACTACTACTACTACGCTTACTACTGGTACGACTACTACTACTACTACCGCCTCTACTACTACTACTACTACTACTACCACATATTATCATCACTACTACGTTTACTACTACTACTACTACTACCACTACTACTATTCCTACTACCACGACTACGATTACTACGATTACGATCTTGCTTACCACGACGGGTTGTATGTGTATTATTCCTACTGCTACTGCCATTACTACTACTACTCATACCACCACCATTACTACTACTACTACTACTACTACTACTACTACTACTACTACTACTACTACCATTACTACGACGACTACTACTAATACTAGTACTACTACTACTACTACTACTACTACGACGACGACTACTACTACGATTTCTAATAGTAATAGTACGAGTATTTTTTTGTTTTAGTGCTACCACCTCCACCACTTCCATTACCTTTACTACTACGACTACGACGACGACTATCACTACTACTACGACTACTACTACTACTACTTCTATTATTATTACTATTATTACGACCACGACTACTGTTATTACTGCGTGCCGCTTGCCCCCACTTCTTGAATCCCGGGAGCTTTTTGTCACCGGAAACGGACCACCATGGATGCGGATTTGAAAACATTTGGAATTTTGAATTCTTTCATTATGTAGCCCAAAGGCCCCGGATCTTGTTTCGTTTGGGGGGAGACTGGTCCACGGGCTTCCCCCCGCCCTCCTACTATTATTCTTACGACTACTACTACTATCACTACTACTGATACTACTACTACTACTACTACTACTACTACTACTACTACTACCTATCTGCCTACCTGCGTACCTACCTACCTACCGACCTACCTACTTACTTTCTACTACTACTACGACTACTACTACGACTACTACTGCTACTAATACTACTACGACCACTACTATGACTACCATCGCGACGACTACTACTACCACTACTACTACTGCTACTACTACTTCTACTACGACGACGACTACTACTACTATTACTACTTCTAGCACTACTACTACTACTACTACTACTTCTACTACTACTACTTCTACTACTACTAGAACTACCACTAAGTATTATTGTTATGACTTTTCGGACGACTACGCCTACTATGGCGACTACTCCTACTACGGCTACTGGGACTACTTGTACTACTATCTTCTACTACTAGCATTACTACTATCACTACGACTACTACCAACAACTACCTTTTACGACTACTAAACCTACTAACAGTAAGTACGGCTACGGCTACTATGACTACTAGTTCCACGATGACGACTACCATTACTACTTTAATTACTACTACTACCACCACTAATACTACTACTACTTACTACTACTACTACCACGACGACGACTAGCTACTACTACTACTACTACTACTACTACTACTACCAATATTACTGCATTTACTATTACTACTACCACTACTACTACTACTACTACTACTACTATACTACTACTACTCCTACTGCTGCTATTACTACTACTACTACTACTACTTCTACTACTACGACCACTACTATGACTACCATCGCGACGGCTACTACTACCACTACTACTACTACTGCTACTACTACTACTACGACGACGACGACTACTACTACTATTACTACTTCTAGCACTACTACTACTACTACTACTACTACTACTACGACTACTACTACTACTACTACTATTTCTACTACCACTAAGGATTATTGTTATGATTTCTCTACTACTACTACTACTACTATTACTACTCCTCACCAAGTATTCTTACTATTACTACTACTACTACTACTACTACTACTACTACTACTACTACCACCACCACCACCACTACTACTACTACTACTACTACTACTACTACTACTACTACTACTACTAGTGCGACTAGTATTTGTCCTACTACTACTACTACTACTGCTACTGCTACTGCTACTGCCACTGCGACTGCTACGACTACTACAGCGACTACTTCTACTACTACTACTACTACTACTACTACTACTACTACTATTACCATTACGACTACTACTACTACTACTACTACTACTACTGCTACTACTACCACTACTACTACTACTACTACTACTACTACTACTACTACTACCACGACGACTACTACTACTACTACTACTACCACCACTTCCACGAGTACTACTACTACTACTACTACTACTACTACTAATAATACTACTACTACTACTACTACTGCTACTACTACTGCTACTACTACCACGAATACCACGATCATCATTACGACCGCTACTACGCCGACTAACACGACGACTACTGCTACTACTAGGATTTCGACAGCGCGGCCAGCTTCAGGATGTGCAGGGTACTGGCAATGATGTACTCTTCCTCATCATCATCCTCAACTTTTTTTTCTCTTGCGATCTGCCGGGGGAACGTTGATTATCCCACCTAGTCCCCGAACTTCATCATCCCCAGGTGTTTAGTGTCACGGGCAGTCGGTTAGTTCATCGCGGCCCAGCAGCGGTTCCCGGATGCCGAGATGCAGCAACAACAAATTTCAACGTCGGAGATTTTAAACATAGCTGGCGGCGCGCCGAAAGTGGAGGGCAGAGGGGGCATGCCTTCCTACACGGCTCAGAAGGGCCTTCCGCCCTGCGAGCGGCGCCCCAAGCCTTAACTTACCCCCAAAAGCCACAGGGACCTCTGAGAGGCCCCGCTGCCTCCGGGGACGAGGAGGAGGAGGATGAGGATGAGGAGAAGGAGGAGGAGGAGGACAGGGAGGAGGAGGAGGAGGACAAGGAGGAGGAGGAGGAGGAGGAGGAGGAGGGGAGGAGGAGGAGGAGGAGGAGGAGGAGGAGGAGGACAAGGAGGAGGAGGAGGAGGGGAGGAGGAGGAGGACAAGGAGGAGGAGGAGGAGGAGGAGGAGGAGGAGGAGGAACAGGGGCCTGCCTGGCGCGCCGCCGAGGGCACGAAAGAGCCCAAACCCTCCCAGACCGCGCCGGGGCCGGGCGACCGCCTCCGCCTCGAGCTCCGGAGAGCCCCGCGCGGCCAGCTCGCCGCCCGGCCCGAGATCGGCGCCCTGACCGCGGAGGCCGCGGCCGCCGCTGTGTCGCCGCGGCCGTGGCCGCCGCCGGGGCCGCCGCCGTGGCCGCCGCCGCTGCTCTGGACGCCCGAAATGCTTTGCATCGTTCGGACGTGTGCATTTTTCCTTCGGCGAGGACCTTTGAGGAGCATCCTCGGCCATTTGGCGAAAAAGCCACGCACGAATCCGGAAAAAACACAGGGAATGGACGTCCGAGCGATGGCGAGTGGACGCCCGACATGGGTACGGAAAGAATGGGTGCAATGCCCAACAGCAGTTCCTGTTCGTTTTGAACAGGACTCGCTGTCCGCGCCGCCACGGCCTGCGCCGCCGTGGCCGTCACCACCCACCAAACCACCCCAACCCAACCCGAAGCCCTCAATTTGCCCTCCGTTTCCAGTGGGGGGGGGCACGTTGGAAAAAACACATGGTATCCGTACCCCCCCCAACCCGAAATTCGGGTCAAGTTCGGGTCTTCGGGTTGGGTTGGGGTGGTCTGGTAGGAAGTCATGCCGCCGCCGCTTCTCTGGAGGCCCGGAATGGGTACGGAAAGGATGGGTACGATGCCCAACAGCAGTTCCTGTACGTTTTGAACAGGACTCGCCGTCCGCGCCGCCGCGGCCTGTGTCCATTCGAGACAGGAGGCCGCCTGCCCAACGGCGGCCGCTGTTGGTTTGGGACAACCGTTGTTGTTGGGCATTGTACCCATTCTTTCCGTACCCATTTCGGGCGCTCGGGAGCACGGTCAGGCCGATGTATGGAGGTTGGCTCGGGGAGGGTATCTTGATGTTTGTGGCGTTTGCTGGATGTTCTTGTGCATCTTGGGGGTAGCCTCGAATGTGCTCTTTCCAGTTTGGGTAGGGGGAGTTTTTTTTTGTGTTCCAGGTCCACCCGCAAGAACGACAAGTTCCCATTGGGACCCGTCAGAGTAAACGTGGTTCCGAAGTAATCGTATGGTGAGAGAGTTGCCAAAGCATGTGCCCCCGACGGCGGCGTGTCATTGAAACTTCATGTCCCTCCCAGGCGTGGGGGCCTGGGGGTGAGGAGGCGAGAAGCTTCCAGCGTGGACTTCCGGGAGGCGGAGGAGGAGGAGGCGGAGGAGGAGGAGGAGAAGGAGAAGGAGGAGGAGGAGGAGGAGGAGGAGAGAGAAGGGAGGAGGAGGGAGGAGGAGGAGGGCAGTCGTGTTCCCTCTGGCTCGGATTCGGCCATCACGGGAGCAGCTCCTTCGCTGCCGTCCGAAGGGTGTTTTTTGTCTCCTGCGCGGTGGCACGCTGATGGGTCCCCCACGGCGGCGTGCCACGGATAATTGTGTGTGTGTTGCTCCCCTACGGTAGGTTCGCGTCGTGTCGACCGGCGGCGACCCCGCCGCCGACGTTCAAGGTTGAACGCCGACGGCGGCCCAGAATCGGTCGATGTTGAACGATTGGACGTTGCGGCAGCGGCCGATCGTTCAAGGTTGAACGATCCAGCGCGGTGTCAGGAACCAACGCCAGGGTCGACACGGCACGGACCTGCAGTAGCTTTATGTCGGGCCTGTCCCCTTACAGAGGGATTTTCGACGAAAAATAAGAAATACCCCTAACAGTCCTCAAAACCACTCCAAACACAGTGTGGGGACCATGTTTTGGGCATGTTCTGACCTTCTTTGGTGCATGTTTTTGGGTATTTTCTATGTTTCGTCGAACATCCCCCTGTAGGGGGACACGCCCGACATAACCCTAGCTGCCCTCGTCGTTCGAAGACACGGCGTGGACATCACCTTCCAGAGGTCCGCCGCGCTTGGCCCGTCCTGGCGCCCGAGGCGCGCCTCCGCGCGCCACGGAGAGGGGTCGGCGACGAAGCACGGAGTCCGAGCGGACCTCTGTCACAGCCTGCGCGTGCCCGCGGAGCTCGCCGTGGGAGCTCCCTCGCCGAGCCGCAGACGGCAGCAGCGCGCAGGCGATCCGCGGCCAGAGCTTGGCATCGCTCGGACGTGTGCATTGTTCCTTCGGCGAGGACCATCGAGGAACATCCCTGATCACTTCGCGGAAAAACCACGCACGAAACCGAACAAAAACACAGGGAATGGACGTCCGAGCGACGGCCAGAGAGTGCAGCCACTCTTCCTGCGGCCGAGGGCGGACTCGCCGCCGCTGGCCGCTGGCCGCTGGCAGCCGCCGCCGTCGCCGTCGAAGCGGCCAGTCGCGACGGTGGCGGCCCTCCCCTGCTCACCACGCACCAAACCACCCCAACCCAACCCGAAGGCCGCAATTTTCCCTCCATCTCCAGTGGGGGGGGGTCGGGGAGCATTAAAAAAACACGTGGAGCCCGTACCCCCCCAACCCGAAATTCGGGTCAAATTCGGGTCTTCGGGTTGGGTTGGGGTGGTCTGGTAGGTAGTCACTTGCGTGTTGTTTTCTCTTTGCCAAGGGAGGTAAAACCACCCGGACCCGACACTTCGCGTTTGCTAAACGGCCCCAGGCGTTTTTGAAGCAGCCCTGCCCTGTTCGATTCTTTCTCTCGGTGCGTTTGTTGAACGGCTTTGCGTGTCGGAGTGGCTGTTATTCGGGGTGGATTTGTTGCCCTCTGCTTTGGGCATCCTAGGGGTGTCTCGTCGCCACGCCTGTATGCGCTGCAAAAGAACGGGCCGGGATGCACCCCACTTGGCATCGCTCGGACGTGTGTTTTTTTTTTCTCGGCGAGAACCATCGAGGACCATCCTGGACCATCGAGCAAAAAAAAACACGCACGAAACCGAACGATACACGGGAAATGGACGTCCGAGCGACGGCAAGCCCAAGAGGGGTGTTCGGGGAAAAAAGCCTCTGAGCGGAATCGGGGCTGGCGGGGGAGCCGCAGTTGTCGCCACCAAATGCCATTCCGATGGCCGGGTTTCCAGGCATCTGGCGAGGAGGAGAAGGAGGAGGAGGAGGAGGAAGAGGACGAGGAGGACGAGGAGGACGAGGAGGAGGGAAGAGAGGAGGAGGAGGGGAGGGCCTCTGGGGGGGGTCGCTTCCGCGCCCCAGGGCAGCGTAAATGGGTCCTCGGCGAAGCACTGCCACCAGGGCCGTCGTCGTCGAGGGGCAAGGAGGGTCGGAGGTTGCTCGGCACCCTACCCAAGGGCGCCCTCGAGGGCGCGAAGTTATTCGCGCGCTTCGCGGTTCGGCTGTGACTCCTCCTCATCCTCCTTTTCTCCCCTGGGAGGCGGCACGAGAACGCGAAGTTACTCGCGCTTCGCGCAGCGCGAAGCGCGAAGTTGGGAGCCCCTGCCCACCCTACCTAGTCGATTCGCAAATTGCATTTTTTTCGGTTCTCGAGACTGTGCCGCGGCCGCAATGATGTTTGCTGGCCGGGTTGTTCTCACTACAATGTGTTTCGCTAAATGGAGTCTGGTCCACCCCCCGGGAGTTGTTTCCTTTGGCACGCACGGGTGTGGCGCGTCTGGGGCGGTCTTCCGAGAAGTCGGGGGGGGGTCTTAGAATCTAGGCCTCCTAGATGGGGTCGGAGTAGATGGGGTCGGAGGATCGCGCTGCATCGCCGATGCATCGCCGATGCGGCTCGATGTGCAGCCCGATTTGCTTCACGTCGACGTCGCCGATGCATCGCCGACGACCTGCATCGCCGGTGCATCGGTGCATCGCCGGGTCCTCCGACCCCATCTGCTCCGACCCAATCTAGGAGGCCCCTATACGACGCAGGGACCTTTGTCAGAAGGGCCCAGGGAAGGCTTCTTAGGGGGCCAGTCCACTCGTACCACCTCTTCGTGAGCGCCGCCAGTGTTCGGCCTCCCGCACGCCTGTCGCGGGACCCCCGGTCAGTCAGAGATCGGTCAGCGGTACACGCCAGTCGTTGAGTGTAGGTATTTTTGGATTCCCAGATCCCAATGTTTGGCTCCTTCCTACTTCAAGGATCGACGGATTTCCTTCTTCTCTCCTCTTCAGAGGGCGGGCGGAAGCCCAATCCACTTCCAACGCCTTCCTGCTTCATGTTTCTACCCACTTCTTCCGATCAGCGTGTATAAGGTTGGCCAGGAGATGTCGCAATATCTGGCGGGGGAAAGCGAAGGATGGCACGTTTCGCACCACAGCCTCAGTTGTTCTCGGGCACGCCAGGGTACCCGCTTACATTGCCCCGGCAAAACGTTTTCGAAGGGCACCGACAGCCCGTACAAGGTTGGGAGCGGCTTCGAACCTTTTGGGGTTGTGGCCATTAACAAAGAGTGATGGAAGCGACGGTTAATGTCAATCGATGAAGAAGATTATGCAATTCGCATAAACATAAGTTGTCGTCGTCCCAGACGGGTGTCTTAGATCGGCGTTGAACTCTACCGGCGGCGCTTCCAGCACCGCCCCTGGCGCGTTCCGCGCGCCAGGGAGGGGGCCCAGCGCCGATCCAAGAAATTCGCGTTTGCTTTCTATAGTTTTTGGTTATTGGTCTGTACCAGCCTGTATCGTTTTCGATAGCTGTTGGTTTCGTGCAGTGTAAGTTTACCAGCCTGCAACATCTCCAGCTGCCTGCGGAAAGTCCCGCCACCGTGCCAGCCCAGGTGATGAGAATTACGAGGATGGTGCCGATGATGCGGGTGATGCTGATGATGATGATGATGATGATGATGATGATGATGATGATGATGATGATGATGATGATTATGATTATGATTATGATGGTAATGGTGATGATGATGTTGGTGATGATGGTGATGGTGATGATGTTGATGCTGATGTTCATGACGAGGACGATGGATACTGATGCTGAAGGAAGCTCATATTGATGCTGATGATGACGATGGTGATCATGATCATGATGATAGTGATGAGGATGAGGATGACGATTATGACGATAGCGATGACGATGACGATGCTGACGATGACGATAGTGAGTGTGATGATGATGATGATGCTGATGATGCTGATGATGATGATGATGATGATGATGATGATGATGATGATGATGATGATGATGATGATTATGATGACGGTAGTGATGCTGGTTATGGTGATGATGATGGCGGGGGGGGGATGGTGATGGTTATGACGATGTTGTGATGATGTTGATTATGACGATGACGATGATGGTGACGACGATGATGATGATGATGATGACGATGATGACAACGATGTTGGCGTTTGCGATGATGATGATGATGATGATGATGGTGTGGTGATGGTGATGCTGATGACGACGATGATGTTGATGATGGCCATGGTGACGGCGCTGGTGGGGTTGATGATGGTGAAGATGATTGTGATGGTGATGGTATTGACAATGATGATGCCGAGGATGGCGATGATGATGGTGATGACGATGACGAATGTTGATGAGGAGGAGGAGGAGGAAGAGGAGGGGGAGGAATAGTAAGGTCGCTTCAGTTGTCACCTTTCGTCGTGACTACTTGAGGAGCTATCATGGAACTTATTCTGGCCGTCTTGAGATTGTCCTGACATCCATCCTATGAGTCAGTGTTGGAGGTTCCTTGGGTTTCTCTTGGGCCGTCTAGGAGCCCTCTTACGCTTTCTTGGGGCTCTCTTGGGCCGTCTTGGGGTGCACTTGGCCGTGTGGTGGGTGTATAGGGACTGTCTTGGCGCCGTCTTTGTTCGTTAAACGGCCTTCTAAGGCCGTCTTGGATCTCACGGGAGGCCCGACCGTCCTGGATGCCGCTTGGGCCATCATGGGGTTCTCTCGGGCCATCTTTGGGCCCTATCCAATCGAGGCGCCTCTTGGGCCGTCTTGGGGCCACCGTGTGGAGGCTTCTTGGGCCGTCTTGAGCCGACGGAAGCCCGAGAAGGTGAGGATGCGACATTCGTTCGAACACCCAAGGGAAGTCAGTGATGTCGGTTCTTTCGGATCTTGTTGGAGAATCTCTAGTGGCCCTCTTGGGCCCTCTTAGACGCATCGTGGGCCGTCTTATGGCCGTGTTCAGCCGCCTTGGGCCCATCTTGGGCCGCCTTTGTAGAGGGAGGCTTATAAGTATAATATAGGCCAGACAGCACTTGGCAGTCTACCACGCCTCAACGTGTCAGGGTGCACGGCGGCGTATCCGTATCCTTAATATTGGCATCACTTGATCTCGGTGCCGATTTTAAGGACCCACTCATGTTTTATCAGGGCACATCCCTAAGATTGTCATCGCCGTGGGCTTGTCATCCTCAGGGGCAGGGATGTGGCCGAGGTTGCCCACAAAAGCTTGCGAGAACATCCAGAAGCCTTCTCACCCGTCAGCTGGCCCCTGCCTGCGGAGCGCCGCCATCAGCGGCTCTGGAGCCGCGAGAGCCAGTGTGATTACAGTCAACCCGCGTAGGCAAGGATGGGCAACCTTCCCAAGGCTACCCTTGCATCCTTACCGCAAGGGCTCCCACGAGGGCGCGAAGTTGTTCGCGCTTCGCGGTCCTCGTTCCTTCTCCCCCTCCTCCTCGTCCTCCTTTTCTCCCGTTGCGGGGGCGGTGCGAGAGCGCGAAGTTATTCGCGCTTCGCGGAGCGCGAAGCGCGAAGCGCGAAGTTTGGAGCCCTTGTTGCCCCTTCGGCCCATCCTCAGCGACTTTCGCTGGCCAACCTCTGTCGAAAAACGTGGAACGTCGCCCTCCAAGGCCCTTGCATCCTTACCGCGCGCCCTCATGCTGCGGGTTCGTTGCAGCCTTCCTTTCTCGAGGTGGCGCCGCCCTCGTCCCTGGCCCAAGGTGTCCCCAGGATGTCTCCGGGGAGGCCCAGTCGGCCTCCAGGGCACCCCTCACGAAGTGCCCCCCCCCCCCCGAGGGCCCCCAGGTGGCTCGAAAAGCTAGGGGGCAGCTTGGGCCGGGGCCACCTGGCAACCTTTGATCCCAAGGTGGCGCTGTGTTAGGGTATCTCTCCTCGTTCTTCACCTCGTTGTCCTCGTTTTCCCTCGTCCACCTTCTGTTTGCTCGCTCCTCGTCTTCCTCCTCGCTCTCACCACGTCCTCCCTTAGCCCCATGTCCCCCCCGTTTCCCGCCCTCGTGACTCCTGCTCCTCTGACGAGATCCTCCTGCTCCTCTTCACTCCTCCTCGTCCCCTCTCCCTCCTCCTCATTCTTCTGAGGAGGAGGAGAAGGAGGACGAGGAGGAGTAGGAGGAGGACGAAGAGGAGGAGGAGGAGGAGGAGGAGGAGGAGTCCCCTCTCCTCCTCCTCCTCCTCCTCCTCCTCCTCCTCCTCCTCCCTCCTCCTCCTCCTCCTCCTCCTCCTCCTCCTCTCCTCCTCCCTCCTCCTCGTCATCCCTCCTCCTCTCCTCCTCCCTCCTCCTCGTCCTCCCTCCTCGTCCCTTCCTCATCCCGATCCTCTTCGTTCTCCTGCGCCCTGCTGGGCCCAGGAGGCCCGTCCGACTGCCTCGGGTGCCTCCCTCCCTCCCTGCCGGCACCGCCGAGCTCCCCTGCCGCCAGGCCTTCCTGCTCACCGTGGAGGCGCCCGGGGGCCTCCCCGTCGGGTCCATCCGCGTGCAGCAGTACGTGTCCCAGAAAGGCGCTGGCCTGCTTCCACCGCGCTGCCGACCCAGACATTCGGGCCGGACGAAAGGGGGGGATAGGGAAAGGGGGGGTACGAAATCTGCTGCGTGCAGCTGGTTTTGGCCCCGCCGCCGGGCCCATTCCTCGATACATAGCCGCCTCCGGCGTCGGGAGGCGCCGGGAAAATCAGCTACGTGAGCTGGTTCTCAAACCCCCCCTTTGCTCTCCCCCCCTTTCGCCCGACCCAAGACATGCGTTAAGTCGGGCATGTCCCTCTGCAGGAGGGAGAGCCAGAAATTGTCAGACAATAGTCTGGGGACGACTTTTCGACTATGTTTGACTACGTTTGAGCATTTGTGTTACTATGTTTCAGTTTTCTTCCAACATCCGCCTGAGGAGGACATGCCCGACCCAAGACATGCGATGCCCTGGCTCATTGCTTTGCCATCCGGGGTCCCCGGAAGTTCCGCCCCTCTCCCGAGGGCCGGCTTCTCCTTCCGAGTCGTTCTGTTAAAGGTCCGTTGGGGGGCCTGGCGAGGGCCCTTCAGGGCCCGAATTTGGCTACAAGTCTCCCGTCGTGACTTCTTGGGGGAGTTCGGCCACGCGCAGTGTGGGGTGGGGGGGGGGTAGGGGGAGGGCTTCTTAGAAGCACCCCTGCTGCTCAGAAGGCGCGTGCCTTGTCTGTAGATCTAGGGCCGGCGCCCTCTGAGGAGCAGCCTCCTTCTAAGAAGCCTTCCCCCCTCCCCCCTCCCACCCTTGTGCTGTGCGCGCCGTCAAGTCTTCTACGCTTGCTCCCACTCTGCACCCCCTCCCTGCATTCCCCCCCTGCCACCCTCCTCCCGTGGAGAAAGGGGGAGAGCGGGGTGGCGGGGTGCGACGGAGGAGCACGCAGGACAAGGGACGAGGACAAGGGAGGAGGACAAGGGAGGAGGAGGAGGAGGAGGAGGAGGAGGAGGAGGAGGAGGAGGAGGAAGAGGATAATGCCGTGCCGTCGCCGTCGTCGGCCCTCGGCAAAGCAACAGAGCACGGCACACGCCCGGCGTGCGGAGGTCCGCGCGGCGGCCCCTGCCCCCAGGGGGCGGCGCCGCTCCGTCTGGGGACCCCCCCCTCCTCCTCCTCCTCCTCCTCCTCCTCCTCCTCCTCCCCTCCTCCTCCTCCCTCCTCCTCCTCCTCCTCCTCCTCCGCCCAGCGGCCCTTCTGGCAGCGCCCCCTGGCGCGCCAGGGAGGTCAGGTCGGCCACGCGCAGAGGGGGGCAGGGTTCAGTCGGACCTGTCCCTCTACAGGGGGAATCTTCCAAAACAGTTGAAAAATAGTCTGGGGACTATTGGTTTGGAGTATTTGTTACTACGTTTGAACATTCTTTGTCTACTTGTGATTGTTCGCCCAAGATCCCCCTGTAGGGGACAGGCCCGACCTGAGGGTAGGGGGAGGGCTGGAAAGCTTCTTAGAGTCTTAGAAGCACCCCTGCTTCTTAGAAGGCGCGGGACCTTCATGTATAGAGAAGGCCCGCGCCTTCTAAGGAGCAGGGGTGCTTCTAAGACGCCTTCCCCCCTCCCCTCCCCCCCTCTGCGCGCCGCCAACCTGTCGGGGCGCTGAAGATGGAGCCCTTTTCGCGTTGGGGAGGGGGCCGGGGTTCCTTGCTTGTTTTACAGTTCGCCTTCCAGGTGTTCCTACAGCTTTTGATGGGATATCGAAGTTCGACATATGGGAAGAAGGGGCGTAGTTCCTTATTTAATCGCTTCGCTCATTCCGCAGGCCCTCGAGCGCTCTATGGGGCCTCTTTGAAGCCTCTTGGGGGCCTCTTTGGGGCCTCCTAGGGGCCTCTTGGGGGCCCCCTTGGGGGCCTTTTGGGGGCCTTTTGGGGCGGGGTAGTCGAGTGCGCCCTCCTCGGAGGCCACACTCCTCGTGAGAGGGGCGCCGTTCTTTCTTTGGGCTTCCTTCGGTCAGCGCCCCGACGGTAGCTGCGGGGTGGAGGGGGCATAGGCTCCAGGGAGAACGCCTCGGCACCCGATTCGCCCCTTCCTCGCCCAGAGGGGCCCGATGGCCCGGCCCACCCAGGAAGGTCCGGCTTCGCCATCAGGGCTTCCGCCGAGCTGTCGGCGATGCATTCCAGGTTTCGGGGGTGGGCAGAACCCCCAACAGTGACACGCCGATTAGTGAATTGTCCGTTTTCGGTTCTCGAGAGGGCGCCGTGGCCGTGATTTTCCAAGCTTGCGCCCGCCAGGTTTGGGCCTCAGGTCGTTTTCACTAAACCACGTTTTACTAAAGGGGGGTCTGTCCATCCCCGACTGTCGGCGATGCATTCCAGATTACGGGTCTGTGTTTCCCATCTCCCATTCTTGAGCCGGCCGCCTTGTCGTTCCCCCTCAGGAGGAGGTCAGCGCCGACCAAGCGGAATCCGCCTGGGCCTCCGAGTGTTTGTGTTCATGGTCTTGTCTTTTTCGGGCCGGACGAAAGGGGTAATTGGGAAAGGGGGGGTTGCTGCGTGCAGCTGGTTTCGGCTCCATCGAGGGGCCCATTCCTCTATGCATGGCCGCCTCTGGCGCCGGGAGGCGCCGGGAAAATCAGCTACGCGAGCTGATTCTCGAACCCCCCCTTTGCTATCCCCCGACTTTTGGCTTCTACGCCTGCTCCCACTCTGTGACCCCCCTCCCGCATGCCTCCTCCTGCCGCCCTCCCCCTTTGGAGAGAGAAGGGGGGAGCAGGGTGGCGGGGTGCGACGGAGGAGCACGTAGGACGAGGGACGAGGACAAGGGAGGAGGAGAGGAGGATGAGGAGGAGGACGAGGGACGAGGACAAGGGAGGAGGAGGAGGAGGAGGAGGAGGAGGAGGAGGAGCACGTAGGACGAGGGACGAGGACAAGGGAGGAGGAGGAGGAGGAGGAGGAGGAGGAGGAGGAGGACGAGGAGGAGGAGGAGGAGGAGGGGTAGGTGGAGGAGGGACGCCTAGTGACTCTTCGCCCCCGTGGGTCACACGCTTTAACCGAAGCTTTCTGTATTTCCTTATCCGCACTGGCGGCTGCCTTAATTTGCTTGTCGAGACCTACATAGGCGATCATCTCCAATCAAGCCAAGCACTGTTTTCTCTGGACAACAAGGTATTATCTTTCTGTCCGAGCATCGTCGAACATGATCGATCCACGAATTCAGACAGGAATATAGAGATGTAACGCATGGCAGCGTTTTCAAAGACACCTGATTGGGTGACGGACAAGTGCAATGCTGATTGTATCGATCTTCATGTACGGTGCCGAGGGCTGTGCTGTGCAGCACCGTGCTGAATTGCGATGTGCCATGCCGCGGTTGTACTCTATAGCGTCGTGGATCGAGTCCTCCTTTGCATCCGAGTCCTGACCGAACTGATCTGGATCTTAAGCTCGAGCTGCCTGAACACATAGTATCTGCCCCAGAGCTAACTGGCAAGGGGACATGCCAGGAGGACGCGCCGCGGAACGTCTCAAGGGACGCGCCCGGCGACGTGCCAGGGGACGTGCCATGGGGTCGCACCGTAGGACGTTTCCATAGGGACGCGCTACGGAACGTGCCAATGGATGTGCCACGGAATGTGCCGGGGGACGCTCCACGCGACGTGCCAGGGGGACTCGCCAAGGGACGCCCCACGGAACGTGCCAAGGAACGTGCCAAGTTGCAATGCTGATTGTATCGATCTTGATGTACCGTGCCGAAGTCTGTGCTGTGCTGCACCGTGCTGAATTGCGATGTACCATGCCGCGGTTGTGCTCTATAGCGTCGTGGATCGAGTCCTCCTTTGTATCCGAGTCCTGACCGAACTGATCTGGATCTTAAGCTCGAGCTGCCTGAACACATAGTATCTGCCGCAGAGCTAATTGTCAGGGGGACATGCCAGGAGGACGCGCCGCGGAACGTTTCAAGGTACGCGCCAGGCGACGTGCCAGGGGATGTGCCATGGGGACGCACCGCGGGACGTGCCAAGGGGACGCGCTACGGAACGTGCTGGGGACAAGCGTTTCGCTCGAGACATCTGGTCAAAATCCTCATTCTAGACATCCGCCCGAACGACCTGGACACGTGAAAACAAACGTTTCGCTCAACATATCCTCAACACATTCTCATGCTAGGCATCCGCCTGGGCGAACTGGACACGTGAAAACAAGTAGTTCGCTCGAGACATCCTCAGCACATCTTCATGTGAGACGTCCGCTTGGGTGACCTGGGCACGTGAAAGCAAGCGTTTCGCTCGAGACGTTTTCAACACCTGCTCATTCTAGACATCCGCCTTGGCGACCTGTACACGTGAAAGCAAACGTCTCACTCGAGACATCCTCAACACATCCTCATGCTAGACATCCGCCTGGGCAACCTGGACACGTGCAAACAAGCATCTCGATCGAGACTTCCTCAGCACCTCCTCATTCTAGACATCCTCCTGGGCGACGATGACGCGTGAAACCAAGCGTCTCGCTCAAGACATCCTCAACAAATCCTGGCGCTTGACCTCTGCCTGGGCAACCTGGAGGCGTGAAACCAAGCGTCTCGCTCGAGACATCCTCAAGACCTGAGCACATGAAACCAAGCATTTCACTTGAGAGATCCCCTAAATTCTGGTTTCCAGGGGAGAACAATCTATAACACAAAACAAGCGTTTCGCTCGAGACATCCTCAACAAATTCTGAAAACAAGCGTTTCGCTCGAGACATCCTCAACTTTAATTCGCCGACCTTCTTCCCACTCGTTATTTATCGCAAAAGAAATCTGCTGGCCCTCTTCCCGTCAGATCCGGGGGTAAACAGCTAAAAGAGAACCTTGGGCCTGCGCCCTTTCCAGGAATTTACAAAACAAAACTTAACGGTCTGAGGGCGGGTCGTTTTCAAAATGTGGCTCCCGCCTGGGCGCCGCGCACAGTCGTTTTGAAAATTTGCAAGAGCTTCACATATAAGAGGGCGTGTCGTTTTCAAAATGTAGCTCTCGCCTGGGCACCGCGCACATTCGTTTAAAAAAATGCAAGACGGCCACGGATGGAGGGCAGCGCCTGAGCGCCGCGCACATTCGTTGTCAAAACTTGCAAAATGTTGCACGGATTGAGGGCGGGTCGTTTTCAAAATGTGGTTATCGCCCTAGCGCCGCGCACATTTGTTTTCAAATTGCAAGAGCTTCACGGATTGAGGGCGGGTCGTTTTCAAAATGTAGCTCTCGCCTTAGCCCCGCGTGCATTCGGTATCAAATTCTGCAAGGGTTTCACCGGTTCCCATGCTCAACGAACCAAGAATGGTGTTTGGGAAGGATTCAAGATTCTACAGGCTTACGCCACATCCGCCGACCCCTTCTGTGAGTGTTGCGAGGCCAGGAGTTTCTGGCCAGCGGCGTCTTGTGTGAGGGTGCGGTGTCGCGCGCGGGTGGTGGCAGATACGTAGGGGGTCCAAATGTTTGCGTGATGCCGGTGGTCTGGGGCGTGTTTTGCGAGCGCTTTGCGTGCTGTGCACCCGGGTGCGGGGTGTCCTTCTGGGAGGTCGGCCTTTCGACCCGCAACCAAGTGGAGGAGCACTGGAAGACGAAAGGAGCAAGAGTAGTGTGTGGAAGCTGTGATCAGCGAAGCATCACAGCGAAAGATGTGGCAGATGAATCGAAACGGGTGAAGAGGCTGTTGACGTTCGCAGCGCGCACGAAACAGTTCGCGCGGCAGCAGCACATTAGCGCCGAGCAAGATAGTGAGCACGTCGCGAGGAAGAGTAAGGTTGTATGCGCGGAGTGCATTGCAGTTGGCGTGACGGCTCGCAATACGGAAGCGTCTGGGGGTCTTCTGGGGGCCTCCTGGGGGCCTCTTGTGGGCTCCTTGGGGCGTCTTGGCGGTTTCTTGAGGGCCGTTGGCGGCCTGTTGGGGCGCTCTTGGGGCCCCCTGGGGCTCGTGGGGGCGGAAAAGGTAGATTTTTGAATTGTTGGTTGCCCTCTTGGGCCCCTCTTGGTGCCGTCTTGGAGCCTTCTTGGGCCGTTTTGGGGACCTCTTGGGCCGTCTCGGGGCCATATTGGACCGTCGCGGGGCCGTCTTGGGGGCCTCTTGGGCCGTCTTGGGGCGGTTTTCGGGGCCTCTTGGGCCGTCTAGGGGCGTCGGAAAGCCCAGAAGGCGGATGTGTGAACATTGTACGTTTCACGACGGGAATACGTACATGTCTGCGTCCAGGGGCCGTCTTGGGACGCATCTTGGGGGCCTCTCAGGGGCGTGTTGGGCCATCTGGAGGCCATTTCGGGTGTCTTCGGTCGCTCTTGGACCGTGTGGGACCATGTTAAGCTCTCTTGGAAGCCACTTGGAGCGCTCTTGGGGCCGTCATCGGGGCTCTCTTGGGCCGTCTTCGGCGCCGCTTGAGCCGTCTTAGCGCCTTGTTGGGCTGTATTGGGGCCCTCTTGGAGGCTTATTGGGCCGTCTTGGGGCGGTCTTGGGGGCCTCTTGGGCCGCCTGGGAGCGTCGGAAAGCCCGACAGGCGAATTTGTGAAAAACGCACGCTTTACGAAGGAAACGGGCTAATTTTTGCGTCTAGAGGCCCTCTTGGGACGCATCTTGGATGCCTCTTGGGGCCTCTTGGGGGCATCTTGGGCCGTCAGGAGGCCATCTTCGGTGTCTTTGATCGCTCTTGGGCTGTCTGGGACCATATTGAGCTCTCTTGGAGGCCACTTGGGGCGCTCCTGGAGCGCTCTTGGGGCCCTTTTCGGGGCCCTGTTGGGCCGTCTTGGACGCTTGTTGGGCCGTCTTGGGGCCCTCTTGGGCTATCTTGGGACCCTCTTGGAGGTTTCTTGGGCCGTCTTGGGGCGGTCTTCGGGGCCTCTTGGGCCGTCTTGGAGCGTCGGAAAGCCCAGAAAGCGAATTTGTGAAAATTATACGTTTTACGAAGGGAATGGGCCAACTTTTGCGTCTAGGGACCCTCTTGGGACGCATCTTGGAGGCCTCTTGGGGCCTCGCGGGAACCTCTTGGGCCGTCTTGGAGGCCTCTAGGCTCGTCTTGGGGCCATCTTGGGCGTGTGGGAGCGCTCGTTTGGCGTCTCGGGGCCCTCGTGGGCCGTCTTGGAGGCCTCTTAGAGCCTTCTGGGCCCGTCTTGATCCCCTTTTGGGCCCAAAAGAGCCCCGTGGCGCGCTCGTGCTGGGCCCGGGTGGGGGGGGTCAAATCTCCGGTTTGGGGTCCCTGGGGGGGGGATTATGGGGGGGGGAACTATCTCACACGCCTAGAGACCCACAAGGGGTCGGCGGATTTTTCACCGGTTCCCATGCTCAACGAACCAAGAATGGTGTTTGGGAAGGATTCAAGATTTTGCGGGTGCAACCAAAAATGGTGTTGAAGTCCTCAAAACGGCGTTCTGGCACGATTCCAGATCGCACGTGGCGTTGAAATCCCGAGAGCAATGTTGTGGCACGCGCCAGGATCTTCAAACGGTTGTTTCCCAAAGTTCCCGCAATGGAAACGAACCATTGTCGGGGCAGAGGGAGCGTGGAGAGAGGGTTCATTCCAACATCATTGATGACTCTTGGGTTTACACTGGTCCACCTCCTCCTCCTCCTCCTCCTCCCCCGCCTCCTCCTCCATTCCTTTTCCATCTCAAGAACTTTCCCCTGTCGCACCCGGAGGCCAGTTTTAGGGCGGGCCGGGGGTTTCGCTTGATACTTCCTCACCAGCTATGACTCTGAAGCTTAAATTGGCCATCGTTTCACAGATGGAGGGCGGGTGGTTTTCAAAATGTGGCTCCCGCCTGGGCGCCGCTCACAATCGCAATTCGAATTTGCAAGAGCTTCACGGATTGAGGGCGGGTGGTTTTCAAAATGTGGCTCTCGCCTTAGCGCCGCGCACATTCGTTGAAAAGATTTGCCAGAGCTTGATAGATTGAGGGCGGCTCCTTTTCAAAATGTGGCCTTTGCCTCAGCGCGGCGTACATTCGTTATACGGATTGAGGGCGGTTCCTTTTCAAAATGTGGCTCTCGACCCAGCGCGGCGCACATTCGTTTTAAACATGTGCCAGAGCTTCACGGATTGAGGGTGGTTGGTTTTCAACATGTGGCTCTCGCATGAGCGCGGCGCACATTCGTTTTCAAAATGTGCAAAAGCTTCACGGATTGAGGACGGGTCGTTTTCAAAATGAGGAGCGCCGGAGGGACATGCCAGGAGGACGCGCCGCGGAACGTCCCAAGGGACCAGGGGACGTGCCATGGGAACGCACTGCGGGACGTGCCAAGGGGACGCGCTACGGAACGTGCCAATGGACGTGCCACGGGACGCGCTCCCAGGGCCACGATCCCCCGTAAATTACGCTGCGCCCGCGCTCCCAGGGCCACGATCCATTATAAGTTACATTGGGGTCGCGCCCCCAGGGCCCTGACTCCTTGTAAATTACGCTGCGTCCGCGCTCCCAGGGCCACAATCCCTCGTAAATTACGCTGCGTCCGAGCCCCCAGGGCCCCGACCCCTCGTATTCTACGCTGCGCCCGCGCTCCAAGGGCTACGATCCCTCGTAAATTACATTGCGTCCGAGCTCCCAAGGCCCCGACCCCTGGTAAATTACGCTGCGCCCGCGCTCCGAGGGCCACGATCCCTTGTAAATTACGCGTGGTCCGCGCTCCCAACGCCACGATCCCTGCGCTCCCAGGGCCTCCTGGGGCATGCTGGGCGCCCAGGTCCCGCAAGTTTTGCCAAACGAGCGTTTCGCTCGAGAGATCCTCGATGTTTTGGCGCGGGGGGCGCACCATCCTCGAGCGGGCACGCACAAACTTAACATTTTCATTCTAAATCATGGAAAAACAAGCGTTTCGCTCGAGACATCCGCAACACATTCTGAAAAACAAGCGTTTCGCTCGAGACATCCTCAAAAATAATTCCGCTGGCCCTCTTCCCACACGTAATTTATCGCAGAATAATTCCGCCGGCCCTCTTCCCGTCGATTCCGGGGGCAAACTTCTAAAAGAGAACCACGGGCCCACGCCTTTTTCGGGAAAAAGGTGGAGGAGGGGATGGGTTGGAGGGGGAGGCTTCGTTTCTGGCACGCGCCTCTTTCCCTCCTCGACTCCGCCACGAGGTCCCCAAGAGTCTAGGCCTCCCAGATGGGGTCCGAGTAGATGGGGTCGGAGGATCGCGCCGCATTACCGATGCAGCGCCGATGCGGCTCGATGTGGAGTCAGTTGTTTTTTGCACGCAGAGTAGATGGAGTCGGAGGATCGCGCCGCATTGTCGATGCATCGCCGATGCGGCTCGATGTGGAGCCAGAAATTTTCACGCCGACGACGCCGGTGCGTCGCCGACGTCGGCGATGCATCACCGGTGTGTCGGCCATACCTGATCGATGCGGCGCGATCCTCCGACCCCAGCTACTGGGACCCATTTGGGAGGCTTCTCAACCTGCCCCAAGAAGCCTCCAGATGTTCTCGCTGTTTGAAGATTCCAAGGCCCGTCGAGGGAACCCAGGGGCAGAAAACGGCGAACTCAATTCTCATCTTTTCATACGTTGGAGAGTTGGGCTCCAGTGTCCGACTTCGACGGCGTGGACGAGGACGCCGGGAGCCCAGCCAGAGGGAGGCAGTCGCAAAGGCCTTCAGAGAATGAGCCGCCGCGCGGTGCCAGGCGCGCCCAGGACGCCCGCGCAGCTGGTGGACTTGCTGAGCAAGCCAGGCGGCGCGGGTGTGTCTCAGAAGAAAAAGATGTACCAATACCGCCACCCTTCCTTCGTCGCAACGGCTGGATTCGCGTCGAAATTCTGGTCAGACCGCAGACTGGCATAGGTCCACCGAGTAGCGGTATCGGCTTTTGGTTTCCCCAGTGACCAGTGACTTCTCGTGTAGGGTGAGGTTCGATGATTGATGCTTTGGAAAACCTCAGAGGAGGAAAAGGTACCGATACCGCGACCCTTCTCTCGTTCTCCCCCTGTTGGGGCCTCCTGGGAGGTCCTGGTCACCACGGCTGAATTCGCCCCGAAATTCTGGTCAGATCACACCCCGCGAGAGGTCTGGGGAGTAGCGGTATCGGTACGTGCTTACTTCCCCATTCTCGTGAAGCGTGCAGGTTATGTGGATGTTATGTGTGGTGTATCAGATGAGGTATCAGCCATGTGGGCGTGTGTATGTTGTGCAAGACATGTGCTAGCCGGTTGGTACCATGCGGTGCAAGCTATGCGGCGAAGGTAAGTGGCGTAGGGTATGTGCCGTGTGCGAGGCGATGGTTGCTAACAGGGCAGGCAAGAGCGTGCAGGTGACGTGGCGCATTCTCTGCCGTGCAGCGCGTGCCGTTGCAAGCTGCGTGGTGGCAGAGTTGCGTGGTGGCACCAGGCGTTCACGAGGCGCCTGCGGGGTGCCCGCGGGCGGGCCTCCAATGGGGACTAGGCTTCAGTCGGGCCCGTCCCTCCACAGGAGGAATGTTCAAAAATAGTGAGAAAAAAAAAAACAGTCGAGGGACTATTTTTGGGAGTATTCTTTAACCATGTTGGAGTATGTTTGGAGTTTTTCATTTTTCGTCGAGAATCCCCCTGTAGGGGGACAGGCCCGACATAACACTAGGCGAGACCCCGTCATGCCCCCTGGGAGCATGCGGCGGCCGCGGTGCGCCCACGTCAGGGCACCCATGTGGGCACCAGCCAGGCGCCAGGCGAGCCGCGCCACAGCCGCCCAGTCACGCAGGAAGCCCAGCAAGGCCCTGGCCGGACGAGAGCGGGAGGCGCGCTGGTTGTCCATGGGGCTCGTAGGGGGGGAAAGGAGAGACGGGTGATGGCGGCGATACGGCGGCGGCTGACGAGGATGACAGCGTGAAGACGGGGAGGGCAGCGCGGGGAGCAGGAGGACAGCGAGGATGAACACAAACACACAAGGACGAGAAGGAAGAGATGGATGAGGACGGGCACCAGGAGGAGTGAAGCGGAAGAGGAGGAGGAGGACGAATGAGGACAGTCAGGAAAATTAGAAGCAGGACCTCGAAGAAGGGGGGTGGTCCCCGTGAGTTCTTAAAGTTGCCTTGAGGTCAGTTGGGGCCGCACAGGGGCTATTTTGGGGCATCTTGGGTGTCTTTAGGGGTGGGTCCTCTTGGGGGATTCTGGGGTCTGCTTTGGCTGTCTGGGCGTACCTGGGGCTTCAGTGGGGGCTCTCTTAGGCCGTCTTGGCGCCAGATTGTGCTGTCTTGAGTATTTGCACATGTCCCGGGAGCCCGATGGTGCAGATCAGTTGAACGTTCCTCAAGTACGATGGGGGCAACATGATCATAGCGGGACCCCGAGGGGGAAACAAGCACGCAAGTCTCGAAATCGGTGGATGGTCGAGGCACGGCCTCGACGAGTGTTGGCATTAATCGGTGCAATTGGGTGTCATTCCATCGAATCACTTCGCCCGCCCCGCAGGGAAGGCCAGTAGCATCGTCGGCGCTTGTCTGCGTGGCTGCGGGGACTGAGAGGGTAATTAGTGGCTGGCGGTCGCTTCCCGCAGTCGTCGCGTAAATCCCGCTTGGGGGGAGAATGTGGTGGGGTAGCTGCACGACAACGCGCAGTCGAGCACGCCCCCACCGCAGTTCCGTCAGTGCCTTCCGCCACTACGTGTGGGCCGTGGCTCAGAGGCGTGCTGGATGCTTTTCGGGGTCTCTTGGGACGCCTCTTTCGGGGCTTCTTGTCATTGGGCTCAGAGGGGGCCCCGTGGGGGCCTCCCGAGGCCTCTCGGGGCGTCTGGGGTCCTCCTGGGGTTTTCCTGCGGGTCCCTCGGAGCCTTCTGGGGCCTTATGGGGGCCTCTCAGGGGCCTGCCGGCGGTATCGGAGGCCCTTACGAGCCGTTGTGGGGTGCCCTTGGGCCCTCTTGGGCCGTCTTGGGGGCTCCTTTTGTGGGCCTCCGGAACTGTCTTCGGGCTTGGTAGAAGCCCCCAGGAGCCAAAGACAACAACAACAGCAACAACAACAGCACCAAAAACACCAACGACAATTGCAGCAGCAACAGCAACAACAGCAGCAGCAGCAGCAGCAACATCAACAATGACAATGTGCCCGTCTTTTTCCCGCGCTCGAATCTAGCTAGTTCTACACTGCTTCAACTTTAGCTCTGCTCAATTAAGCTCAACTCAAGTTCGACTCGCAGTCGACGACGGACGTTCGGCGCAGCACTTACGTATGAGTGGAAACAGCTGCTCCAGAAGTCCCCCACAGCGAGCACCTGACGCCCGCCACCTGAAGCGCCCCACGTCCGCCGCCCCTCCCCCTTTCCAGCCGCGGCCGCGGCCGTCGCAGCAGCGATTGGCACTTCGACCGGCGCATACCTTGAACTCTGAATACTACATTTTGTCTAGCTTTGTCTCGTTTCTGTTTCCCTCCCCTGCCCCTCCGCGCTGTAAACGTCGGGGGCGACGATAGGGGGGGATGGGGGCATAGGGGAGGATGCATCGACCCCCAATCGCCCATGGATCGCCCATAGAGGCCCGACATCTGCACCCGCCCAGGAAGGGGGTGGATTCGCTATCGGGGGCGTATCGTCGATCTATCGGCGATGTATCGCCGATTCCAGGCCGATGCACCCCCCCCCTATATCCCCCCTACAGTCAACGCGCCCAGTAAGGACGCGCGCCTTCATCTAGGATACCCTTGCGTCCTTGCCTCTGTGGCCCGTCCTTTGCCGTTTTCACTGGCCGCCACCGCCCAACAAAAACCCAACTTCAGCCTCTAAGGGTCTTGCGTCCTTGCCACGCGTCCTTAATATACGTTTTGACTCTATCGTTGCCCCTCAAAACGGCGCACGGGCGTCGGCCTGTCGCAGCCGCCGCCCGCGAGGCCGGGAGGAGCTCCTCGGGATGTACTCGGAGGACACCGCCGAGTTCACCGTGCCGGCGCCTCCCCACCCTGCGGTCGCCACCTTACAAGCAGTGGCTCAAGCAGTGGCGAAGCGTCTGAGCTCGCCTATAGGCCTGCCAAAGCATGTTCCAAGAACCTTGTGTGATCTGCACGAAATCGTCTTAGAACATTTCTGGTTGAGACTGTCTTGTTTCAGCACATCGGGCTAATGTTCTAAGAACCTTGTTTTTGTTTTTGGAAGATTGTCGGGCTCTAAGAACATTTCGTGGTAGGCGTATGAGAATGCCGGGACGGTCGGCCCCTGCTCAAGAAGAAGTTCTTGTGGTTTGCGCGAAGCATGACTGATAGGATTTCTGGCCGAGGCCGTCTTGTTGATGTGCATCGGCTTGGTGTTCTAAACATTTGGCGTCTGTCACTCGCACGCGGTTGGTTCTCAGAAGATTTCGTGGCAGGCCTGTAGGAATGCCAGGACGGCCGGTCCTTGCTCAACGACGGGCGTTTTCATTTGCTTTCGGGCCCCAGTAAGCGGCGAAATCCGAGCACTACCCTCGCCGATCAACGACTCGGGCCACTTGGTGGACGTCAGGGCTGGACCTAAACGGTGTTTTGGCGATTTCTTGGGATTTGTTGTTTCGACTTCGTTTTGCGGTAGAGGTGGATCGAAGACAAAACGAAGGAACATGAAAGCAAAACGAAAACGAAAAACACCGTTTAGGTTCGGAATTCGTCGAACGCTTTGCGAAATCGGAACCCTAACCCCCGCCTCCCGTTGTTTCAGGAGACTCGATGGTTGGTGGGGGTAGGGTTCGGCTGTCGCCACCTACTTAGGACCATCACAGATCGATCCAGCCCGAAAAATACCGCACAGAGATCCGAAAGGCTTACGCCACATTCTCCGACCCCTTGCTGAGAGCACGCTTCTGGGGCTATCTTGGAGCTTGGCGGCTCCTGGAGCCACTGCGGGAACCATCGTCAGGAGGCGATGGAGGGCGTAGGCCCGGAGGCCTCGACGCCCTGCGCCCGCCGGATGGTGGGAGAGGACCCCGTGGGGGGCCGGCCACGGTGCTACTCAGAGGTGTCCAACCTGACGGCGGGCGCCGAAGCAGAGAAGCCCCGCCGCACGGCCGCAAGAGGCACAGGACATGTCGAGAAGTAGCACCAGTCGAGGCCTCCCCTCTCACGGTTGTGCATGTCTGATTGGCCAAAGCCAAAGGGCAGGTGCACAAGGCTTGCGTGACGAGCGCGAAGTTGGGCCACTGCCTGCAGAGACTCCCACCACCTGGAGATGTCGAGCTCAAGGATAGCCTCGTCCCCGCACGGCCGCTGCAAGTGACGTGAGGCGAGGAGTTTTCAATTCAAGGGGGAGCCCCTCCCTCAGCTGCCACCAGCACTGCCTCAGGCAAGAAGAACTACATGACCAAGCTCCGAATTACCTCAGTCAAACACTTAAATGGAACTCAACGTTATTGGGAGTTGGTCCTGGCTGTGGAACATGTCGACAGACTGCTAGATTCGAGCCTCGGCGTCTACGGAACGCGCAGCAAATACATAATGTGCTGGACGACGAGACAAAGATCAGGGCCGCCTACGATCCGATTCGATGCGATTTGATTTGCCAGTCCAGGCCTCGATACCGATTCAATTCGGTTCGGCTCGATTCACCAGCAGCGGCCGGGGCACGCCGGGCCAGGCGCGGCGATACGATTTAGATTCTATTCGGGACGAGTCGTTGACGACCCGATCCGTCCAATGTCGCGATTCGACCCAGCTCAGTCCTGACGATTCTCAGAGCTCCAGCGTTTGGGGGAAGTCCGGGCTGCTGGCTGTTCTGTGCTTCGGCACTTGCAGGGGCCCTGCCCTGTCGGGTACTGGGGCCGTATGTACCCTTTTCTCCAAGGGAGCTGTGCGTTTCTGGAACAAAGGCTCGTGGGGAAGCGTGCGGTCTGTTCGATCACGCGCAGGGCGCAGGCGCAATGGCAACCGCCCATGATATTGTGTTCTCACCCTGTGCGGCGCGTGCGAAAGGTCGTTTCCTGGGCCACCCCCCTTGGGTAACGGTAATGATCTTACGTATGGGGGGGCGGGGCTCGACTTCACCCCCCCCACATGCCCCACATGTTGGTGCTTGCGCGCACACTGTGGCTATCGCAGCGCACCACCGCTCCGGCTTGCTCCACCCCGCCCAAGCGCCACCGTCACCCAGGGCCCCAAGCCCCTCCCTAGACCAGAAATAATCACATACAATGTCCATCCTCTGTGCTCAGGGGTTCGCGCCGCCCAGGCCAGAGGAGGCACGATTGGCGGGGAGGCGATAGTCGGACGGGGCTAGGAAGAGGATAAATCTGTTCGAGAGCGTTCCAGGACGCTCTGATAACGTTCCCGATTTCTCTGAGAAGGCCGCGGCGCCCGATACATCCTCCAGAGCCGCACGATCTCCGAGGTTCGATGTATCTTCACCCGATGTTATCCTCGTCCTGGCTTCGTCTTAGGTGAAGAAAGGTGCACGGAGCCCTAACGGGGCCCCCTGGGGCCCAAAAGGGGTACAAAAAGAGCGCGTTTGTCCTTTATCGCCCCCCACTAAGCAACTCCCAAGACTCAGAGATCCGACGTCTTGATTGTTTCAGTGCAGCGGTCTCGGAAGGCTCGTGCCCGTGTCCTAAAAAAACGGTTTCATGGAAGTACGTTTTCGGAGCTCGGCGCAGAGTTCCTGGATGGGCTTTGGGGCCTCCTTGTTGGCGCCTCCGGCGCCACCCTTGGTGGGCTCCGCGCGCCAGGGAGGGGGGGCCAGCGCCGATCCAAGAAATCAGTGCGAGACTTCTGGAAGTTTATGGTCATGCCATGCTTGTGATTCGATTTACGAGGGGGCGTTGTTCATACCAAGTCGTTTTGGGCGGTCTTGCTTGGATCGGCGCTAGGGTTGCTAAGGGCATGCGGAGGTTCTCAGTGGATACCGAGGTGGGTTATATCTGACCTAACCTAGCGAATAGGTGGGTTGCAAATGCCCCCGGTGGATTCGCGCGGTTAGATAATTCCGCTAAGCGGGCGGAGACCACGTAGCCCGGATCGTTAACCTTTGTGAGCCTTGTGTGGGTTTCGTAACCCGCGTGTAAGTTCGGTTCGGTGATAACCCACTTTGGTGTCCATTGATAACCCTCCTATCCCCGTAGCAACCCCCGCGCCGATCCAAGCTGGGGCCCGGCGAGGGCTACCGGAGGCTCAGAATTTGTCGGGTGGAGATCTCGCACCCCCCCAGGGCTCGTTTCGATTATTCCGATTCGATTCACTTCGAGTCCGATGGTTTCCGAATCCGATTCGATTCGACTCTGGATTCCGATTGGGGCTCCGCTTTCTCAACGGGGGCCGACTAGCCTGCCGATATCCGCCGATTCGACTTTTCCCGACTCGGCTGCCGATTTTCGCCGATCCGATTCATTTCGACCGCCGATGCGATTTTTCGATTCGATTTTGGGGCCCTCCTGCCCCCTGCTCGGCGGAGGTGGCGGCGGCCGCCGGCGACGAGGGCCTCGAGCTGCGACACGTGGCAGGCAGCCTCTGCCCCCCCTCGGCCTCGGCCCCCTCCCCGCTCCACCGCGGAAGGCGGCTGGACGGTCAGACCGTATCGTCTCGGCTCAGGTTGCGGTCGTTCCTTTCTCCGCTGTGTTGCCGATCGGCGCGGGCCCGCGCACCCCTCCCCCCGCTTCCCCCGAGAGTGGCATTTGGCTGTCTGGGGCGCCCGTGTCAGGCAGGCGGAGGATCCCCCACAGGACGCACTGTTGTCAACAGTCGCGTGAAGCAGACGTCGGGAGCCACCAGACCTCCCCCCCTTCCGCCCAGGGTCGAAACGCCGCATCAGACAACGTTCACGTTCGAGTCCCGATGTTTTTCGGGCGTGCTCTTAGTTTTCGGCGGCGTTCCTCCAGGCCTCCTAGATGGGGTCGAAGTAGATGGGGTCAGAGGATCGCGCCGCATCGCCGATGCGTCGGCGATTCATCGGCGATGCGGCTCGATGTGGAGCCCGATTTTCTCCACGCCGACGTCGCCGATGCACAGACGACGTCGACGATGCACAGACCGTTGCATCGCCGACGCATCGCCGATGCATCGTCGATGTATCGGCGATGCGGAGCGATCCTCCGGCCCCATCTACTCCGACCCTATCTAGGATGCCTCTAGTTCCTGCCTCGGGTTGCCTTCCAGCGGCTGCGGCCCGCCGAGATGCGTAATTATCGGGTTGCTGGGGGCCTGTCGCCGATCGATCGGCGATGTATCCACTATTCCAGCTCGATGCTCCCCCTCCCTGAGCAGGCCCCCCCGGAGGACGAGTAGGTTTCCAATGTTTGCCTCTCCCTGAAATCCGCGCGCCGCATTTTTGTTCGCAACGTGCGATTCGTCGGTTATCGCGCCCCGGGACCCTGTCGCGGCTTGAAAAATACATCAGGAAGACTGGGTCTAGGGCTCCTTCTGGTCGTGATTTCAGCGATGCCGGTTGTTGTACGCAATGTCGGATCTCAGGGTTGTCTTTCGTCATGTGCCATGGATTTCTATTCGGCCTCAGTTTAAGTTGCATCTTTCGGAGACCTCGTCTGTCCCCACAGGGGTCTCTTCTCTTGTGCCCGACGCGGGCTCGATGCGGACTCGACTCGATTTGACGTGGGTTTGGCGCGGGTTCGACGAGTCCTACATGAATTTGGCACGGATTCGACGCGGATAGGGGCGCGACGGGACAGACGAGGTCCCCCGAGTATGCAACAGGACTCAGTCTGAGCGTCCGCGGGCCTTGCATCCTTACCGCGCATCCTCATTACGGACCCAGTCGTTCTGCGTGGGGCGCTCCAGACAACGCCTCGCCGTCGGCGCGTCCTTCGCTTGCGGCGGTATGCCCGCGGAGGTCGATCGGCGGCGGCTCGCCGGCGGAATGCGGCAGGAGATCGAATAACAAATACCGAAACGATTGCGAAACACGGCAACTGGCCACACGATGTTTTCTTGGGTTGATCGCAGCCAGCCGCCAGCCTACATGCCAGCAGACAAGGGCCAGCGGCCGTTTGGCCAATTCCAGTAAAGATGGATTCAAACATGGCGACGCCTGATTTTGAACAACACATTGCTCACACACAGATTTTTTCTTCCGTGTTTGTTATGTTTATGCATTTCACTGTACAAGTCAGGCGTCACCACTTTTGGATCTAGGGTTTTGGGAGATGGCCAGATGGCCGTTGGCCGCATGATCGCTGGCCCTGGTGTGCTGACATGTACGCTGGCGGCTGGCTGCGATCAACTCAAAGAAGCCGCGTGTGGCCGTTACTGAGTCGCTGCCACTTCGGTTGGCCATGACCGGCCTCCGTTGGCATTGCGTAGTTTCATGCTTTTGGGCACAAAAGGCAGCTAGACGCCACTGTCATCCCTGACCGCATTATTTCATAGTTAATTGCCTGCTTTTGTTGCCCCTGCCAGTTCCACTCTATTTCCTCCCCCTCCCCCTCCTGCTTGTGTTTGTTCAAGCAGGCAGGCCATTATGAGGATGTGTTTGTTTCACTTCAGTGCTACCGCAGCCGATGTGCCGTCACGGCACGGCTTTTCCAGTTCCAGCTCCAATCCTTGGCCCCAAGTTGGAGTATAGGCTCTCGCGGAGCTCGCACGCCGCTGGGGGAGGCGGGTGCGTGCATGGGGAGGGTCGTTCGTGCTTGTCTGAATAAGGTGCGACTTGATATGACTGCCTTGCCCCCGAGTGCGGGGAGAGAAGGTTTTACTGCGGCCAGTTGGGCTTGCGCTTTAGCGCAGCCAGGAGGTCTCTGGAGTGTACAAGTCCTCGAGAACGGTGAAGGCCCCCTCTGAAGAGCCTTTCGGCCCCCCCGAAGAGTCTCTCGGCCCCCCTTGAAGAACCTCTCGGCCGCTCTGAAGAGCCTTTCGGCCCCCCTGAAGAGCCTCTCGGCCCCCCTGAAGAGCTTCTTGGCCCCCTTGAAAGAGCCGTTCGGCCCCCCTGAAGAGCCTTTCGGCCCCCATTGAAGAGCCTTTCGGCCCCCCTGAAGAGCCTCTCTGCCCCCTTGAAGAGCCTTTCGGCCCCCCTGAAGGGCTTCTTGGCCCCCTTGAAGAGCCTTTCGGCCACCCTGAAGGGCCCCATGGCCCTTCGTGCATCCTCAAGCTGGCCATCGCGGTCGTCAGCGACAGCGCAGGGCAAGCCTACGTCGGCGACCACATTTTCCTGGCGCCCCCATTTTCTTCGCCCACCACAGAGGGCTTCGCTGCGCGAGCAACGCGGCGATGTAGGGCGCCAGCAGTAGCTTTGTTTAGGAGGAGGATGAGGAGGAGGAAACGGGCAGGGGGGGGAAGGGGAGGGGAAGGAGGAGGGGGGGGAGGAGGGGGGGGGGGAGGGAGGGGGGAGAGGAGGAGGAGAGGATGAACAGCGCCGAGGGGCGAGCGCGACGTTCAGGATTCATTGTCGCACGCCGCGTCCGCTGTCACCTCGGGGCGTTGGCGGCCGACTCGGTGACCTTACGTCTCCCTTGGGGACCTTGGGCCGTCTGAGCGCCAACCTGGGCCGACATAGGGTCATCTTGGGCCGCTGTTGGGCCATTTCGGCGCACGCTTGGACCGTTTCGGGGCCCTCTCGCCCCCCTGGGCCGTCTTGAGGCCATCTTGGAAGCCCTCGTGGCTTCGGAGAGGGCCCCCAAGCCGCCCCAGGACGGCCCAAGAGGCCCCCGACAACGCAACAATGAGATCCAGCACGGCCCTATTTTGGCCCAAGGGGCGCGCGAGATCGCCCAGGAGGGCCCCGTTGTGGCCCCTGGAACGGCCAGGGGGGGGAATGCGAATCGACGTTGGCGCCAGCGGCACAGGCATCCATTTCAGCAGCGTCGTTAATATGTCAAGTGTCGCGTCCACCACGGCTTCAATACGATGCAGCAGCCAGGGCTCTGCTAGATTGGCTGTTTCTTTCGTTTGTGCACCGCGCTCTCGGCTCAAAGCTTGAAGCGCAAGAGGCTCGCTGCTCTTCTGATGGCGACACTCGTCGCCGATACGCGCTGCAGTGTGCCGCGGTGCCGTGCACCAAGGGCGGAGACTTACAAAACAAACAAGACAACGCGAATCGACAATCCGAACCTTCCGCCACAGGAGGCCCCCTGGAGGCCCCGAGCGGCCCCCAAAAGAACCCCAGAGGCCCCGAGAGGCCCACGAGAGGCCCACAACGAGGCCCCCAAGCGGCCCCGAAGAGGCTTCCAAAGTTGCCTCCAAGAGGCCCCCGAGAGGCCCCCCCACGATAAACGAGCGTATGTCAAAGAGACCTTTAACCCACAGCCCATGCACGGTGGCGGGATGGGCCGACGGCCACATAGACGGTCCAAGACGCCCTAGCGGGCCTCCAGACGGCCCGCGAGGATCCACGATACGCAAAAGGCCTCCAACAAGGTTTCCCCAGCGAGCTCGAAAAGGCCAGCACACAGTTCTCCCCCATCGGTTTTTGAACAGCTTTGGCTTGTCGGTTTGTCGCGGAATAGACGGCGTAGACGGATCAGGCGTTTGTCCTCATACCATTGTCGCCGCTTTTGCGTTTGAGCCTTTTTTTCGGAAGACAATGCCGAGGAAGGAGGCTGGAGGCTAAGGTTGAAGGTGCTTGCCGTGGTCGGTTGTGAAATATTTTACACACGTCGCACGGCAAAGGACATCTGATAATAACGGTGGTCGTTGGCGCCACGATGTGGTCCACGTGTTGTTGCGCGGGGGTTGCCCAGCCGGTGGCGCATACTACTCTGTATGCTCCAGCCCAATGCCAGAGATTGTGAATCCTTCGCGCGGCAGATTGCATCTTCGAGGAATGGTGGCGACCACACGGGCGTCGCTCACGTCAAATTCTGGCGAGGATCATGAGGATGACGATGTTGCCGATGATGACGTTGATGGTGATGATGATAAGGAGGATGGGGATGGGGATGATGATTGTGATGATGTTGATGATGATGATGATGGTGATGATGATGACGAAAAAGATGATGAGCGGGATGATGCTGATGATGATGATGCTGATGTTGATGCTGATGCTGCTGCTGCTGATGATGTTGATGATGATGATGATAATGATGATGATGATGATGATGATGATGATGATGATGATGATGATGATGATGATGATGATGATGATGATGATGATGATGGGACAAAGGAGTAAGAAGAGGAATTGGGTGAGGACGAAGATAGGACTGAGAGCGGTTGCGAGGACAAGGACGACGTCGAGGAGGAGGATTTTTTGCAGGAGGTTGGAAGATGAGGAGCAGGAGGAGGCAGAGGGAGGTGATCGTGGTGGACGAGGTGGAGAATGTGAGCGCGGAAGCAGGAGGAGCATGCAACAGGAGGAGCTGGCAGGAAGGGATGTGGGAGGTGAAGGAGCCGGCCAGAAGGGAGGCGACGACGACGACGGGGATGACGGTGGTGTTGAACAAGATGGTGGTGGTTTTGATGATGACGACAGCGGCGGCGACGACGATGACGATGACGATGATGATGGTGGTGACAATGATGATGGTTGCGATGATGATGGTGATGAGGATAGGGATGATGATGATGCTGCTGATGCTGATGAGGAGCAGGAGGAGGCAGAAGGAACTGATGGTGGTGGACTGGGTGGAGGAGGCGAACGAGGGAGCAGGAGGCGCATGCAACGGGAGGAACCGTCATGGTCATGACGATGATGATCATGCTGATGATCATGCTGATGATGATGATGATGATGATGATGATGATGATGATGATGATGCTGCTTATGATGAGCATGATCATGTTGATCCTGTCCGTGCGGATGGTGATGATGACCATACTGATCATGTTAATCACGAGTACCATCACAATCAAGATGGAGGAATACGTTTCGCTGACGGAGGAGGATGAGGAGGATCAATAGGATGAGGACGAACATGATGTTGGTGCTAATGCCGATCGTGCTGATGATGATGATGATGATGTTGTTGATGGTGATGCAGGCGATGCTGATGCTGATGGTGAAGCTGAAGCTGATGATTAAGAGGACGATGCCGATGACGACGAAGACGATGATTATGACGATGATGATGCTGAAGGTGATAGTGATGGTGATGATGACGATGACGTTGATGACGATGCTACTCATATCGATGATTATGCTGATGATGATGATGGTGATTATGATGATGATGCTGCTGCTGATGATGATGATGATGATGATGATGATGATGATGATGATGATGATGATGATGGCGCCACCAGTTTATCCTTTGTGCGGCCACTTTCTCCTGGGCGGGAACGCAAGCCATTAAAGGATTGCCAGGACTTCCAGAGCTAAGACAGGAAACCTTCACAGATCACTTTTCATCGAGTGGCCAGTGCGGGCCGCAGTGAGTCCCACTTCGCCGCGTGCCGGGCCGCAGTAGCAGCCAACGGGCCGCACAACATTCCAACGGGCAGAAGGATTTTCGGGGAAGGTTCCTCTCTGCCCCCCTCCCCTTTCCCGCTGCTTCCGAATCCATCTTGCGTCGTGCTCACGCTCTAGAGCTAAAGAATTTCCCAATCCGCTTGCTTGCGTGGCGCTACGGCGCCACCGTTCCGTCCCCAGGTTGGCCGCGCTCAGGCGCGGATTTAGGCGTCCTTCCGCCGCCAGGGAAGTATGGAGCGATGCAGTCAATCCTTTCTTGGATATCATAGACGCGCTAGCCCGCCAGCACAAACCAGTCACCCAGGGTGTTCCTTCAAATTTTCTGTCATTTTTGTTTGTTTTTGTCACTGACTGTTTGATGCGCTCTCCTGAATTGTTTTTGGTCCACGATCTCGCAAGATCCTCTGGACGGCGTACGAAGTCAGCACAGAACAGCAGTTTAGCTTCATTTTCAGCGCTATTCGATGTACTTGCTAGCCCTGTCTGCGCTGACCGTTTGGCGCGCCCTCGAGAGTAGGGACCCGTTCGGTCTCTGAGCGGCTCGAGTTTCCTGGGCCTTTTTCCGTGGCTGTCTCCCGTGCCGCTTCTCCTGCCTCTACAGTCGGGGCCCTGAAGAAGGAACCCTTTTCGTTGGGGAGGGGCTCCGCGTTCCTTGAGTGTTTCGCAGCTTGCCTCAGGCTTTCCTTATGCTTTCGACCGGAAATCGAAGGTTAACATATGGCAGAAGAGGGCCTCGTTCCTTATTCAGGGTTCCTTAGGTCAACCAACGCCCCGACTGTACCTCTTGGGCGCCACACGGGGACCAGAAGAAGCCTTGCCCATCATGCAGGGGCCCTCCCCGCATCGCCGCTAGGTCGGCGACGGCGCCGATGCATCGCCGCTGCATCGGCGATGCATCGCAAGTGCATCGGCGATGCGACGCGATCATCCGACCCTGTCTACTTCGATGGGGGGCCACATGCGGACCCTACCCCTACCCCCCACGCTTTTGGAGGGGGAGGGGGAGGGGGGGGGTCACTTCGCTCGTGACCTCCCGAACGAAGTGAACCCCACCCTGCCCCTCAGAAATTGTGGGGGGTAGGGGTAGGGTTCGCACGTGGCCCCCTATTCGACCCCAGGCCTCTCATCATGCTCCTCGTCGTTGGACTCTCCCCCTCGGGCCGCTCCTCCGCGCGGAGGTGCACCTCTTGAGCAGGCACCAGGCTCTCTCTCGCAGCGGGGGGCCGGTGGGCCGGTGGTCTCGGCCTCCTCGCGCTCCTGAGGCCACTGCGAGGCGGGGGCGCAGCCACATTCGCCTCGGAAGCTGGGCGAGTGCTGCTAAAACCGTGGCTGCTAAAACGGCCTCCCGGAAGGAAAGAACAACTTCCCGGAATGAGGCGCGGCGCGCGAAGCAGTCACCGGGCTTCTTTCCGGAAGGACGAAGACCGCTTCCCGGAGGTCGATTCTAGCAGCCACGGATTTCGCAGCCCTTGCCCGGCTGCTGACCGCCGCTTCTGGAGAAGCGACTCGGCGGCGAGCGAGGGGAGGAAACGAGAAGGAGCAGACCCTCTCAGAAGGCGGCGGGACTCCTCAGAGGCCCTCGCGCCCTCTGAGGAGGTTCTGCCCGTGTTCGGGGAGTGCTTCGGAAACACCTCAGGTGGCCAGGAGACCTTTCGAGCCGTCTGAGGAGGCCCGCCCCTTCTCACTCCCCTCCCCGGGCGCGCCGCCTAGTCAAGACACCGGAATGAGGAGGAGGAGGAGGAGGAGGAGGAGGAGGAGGAGGAGGAGGAGGGAGGAGGAGAGGAGGAGGAGGAGGAGGAGGAGGAGGAGGGAGGAGGAGAGGAGGAGGAGGAGGAGGAAGAGGAGGAGGAGGAGGAGGAGGACGAGGGAGGGATGAGGAAAGATGGAGGAGGAGGAGGAGGAGGGATGAGGAAAGGTGGAGGGTCCTGGGCCCCTGGACTCCAGCAGGCGGCGGACACGGATGTTCTGGCCCCTGGGGGTCAAACATGCGTCCGTGTCCATCGCCAGCCGCGGCTTCCGGAGGCGTCTGCTGCTGAATCGCTTCGCTCACTCCGCCGGCCCGTTTCGCACCACTGTGGCTGCGTGTTGGTGTGCTCGCGTAGGGAGTCAGGAAAGTCCTCGAAGAGATGTTTGGAGATGTGGCGTCCACCCTGTCGAAGAGTGCCGATAGCATCCCCAGAGGCGCCAAGATGGCTCAAAAGAGCTCCAGCAGAGCTTCGAGGCGTACCCGGGTTGTGGGTCAGAGTCCGCCAGGGTATTTTTCGTCCGGGGACTCCCAGGGGCCGGAGATTTTAGCACGCGTCTGGCCCGTGGGGCCGATCCATGTCCGCCACCAGCGGAGGACCCCTGGAGGCGTTTGTTATTCGGCGGCTCGCGACTCCTAAGAAACCGTCTGTGTCTTCGGAGAAGGCCCAGACAACTTTCTCAGAAGACCGGAGGCTTTCTGAGTCTTCTGATAAGACCCACCCCACCTGCCTTCACCCCGTTAGCGCGCCGCGCCACGTTACGAATATATTACCTCCTCGCAGACACGCGTCGACTGCACCCCGCCGACCCCCCCGATGTTGGCGTCACCCCAGGATATACTTATACTATTGCGTGCATCGCCCCCCCGGGAGCGATGCGCGCACCGAGAAATCTGACCGTATATGCGTTGTGGCGGGCGCACTCTGGCCACACCCCTCGGGAAACGATCTACTGCAAGATGGGTATATACCATCTGGTTGGGTCGGACGCGCGCCTCCAAGGAGAACATATGGTCTTCGTATGTCTCTGTGCGTCCCGCAGCAGAGCGCCCGAGCCTGGAGAGCGCCGCCCGCGACCGCGCGCGCGCGGCGCGCTCGGCAGGGCTGGCGCTGCCCACGGCGTGACGCCCGTCGGCACCGCGCTGAGCGGGCCATTCCCCCCACTCCCCTCGGGGGTGGACAGAACCCCCAACAGTGACACGTCGATTCGTGAATTGTCAGTTTTCGGTTCTCGAGAGGGCGCCGCGGCCGTTCTTTTCCAGGCTTGCGCCCGCCAGGCTTGGGCCTCAGGTCGTTTTCACTGAACCACGTTTTACTAAAGGGGGGTCTGTCCATCCCCGATCCCCACTGCGCGCACGCCCGCGGCGGGCGCCCACGCCGTTGAGGGGTCATGGTCTCACCGCCCAGCTCCTGTCCACCACTGGCCACCCGAATCGGCGGCTCGGCCTTCGATCTCCGGAGCTGGGTCTCTATACCCAGGCACAGCGGCGCAGAGGCCCAGTCAAGCCACACGGGTTGGCTCGTAAGCGAAAAAGACGAGGCTACGGCGCACTGGGCCAAACGTGCATGCGGGTATGTACGAGAATCTGTTGTGCCTTCAAGGGGGGGAGAGCAAAAAATGCTGTGCCTCCATGCGCAGGCATTTGGTAACCTGAGCTGCTCGACCCCCCGGTGCTTTTCCTCGGTTCCAGCCTCTGGGCCCCTCATCGGGCCCCGCAAACCCTGACCTTCCAGGAGGGCTAAAAAATAGCACGCGATTTAAAAACCTATCCCAGAGCTATTATATGTCTTGGTTTTAGGCTGTTTCGTTTCGTTTTTTAGGTTTTTAGGCCTCCCGTGCCAAAACATAACTCTCTGGAAGGTCAGGGAATGAGGCGCAACGTTTGGGGGGGATGGGGGGGGGAAATGCATCGACCCCCAATTGCCCATTCATCACCGACAGGGGCCAGAAGCCCCACCCGGCCAGGAACGTCGGGATTCGCTTTCGTGGGCATATCGCCGATCCGTCGTTTATGGAAGATGTCTCGCCGATTCCAGGTTGAGGTTTTCCTCCCGGAGTCAGTTTACCCCGAATGTTGCCCCTCTCATCAGATATGAGCCCGGGACGAAGAGTTGCCTCCGTAGGGAAGTGGGGGGCGCAGATTCAGCAAACATCCATCGTCGGATGTTTGGGTGCACATCCGGCGCTCGGGGGTCCGATTCTCCCAGACCTCCGACAGGAAGTGCTCCAGAGCAGGGGGTGCCTCGCCGTTGGCGCGTCGCGCCCCCCGGCGGAAGGCTGGCGGGAGGTGGCGGGTGTGGAGCGACGGCGGGTCCACGGGCGTCATCCTTCGGCATCGCTCGGGCGTGCGCAGCTCTTCTTCGGCGAGGCCGGCGCCAGAGAAGATCCGGACCGTCCAGGAGTGTCTCGGATGACCCAGCGAGTGCCGTGCCGAAGAGTGCACGGGGACGACGCCCGAGCGATGGCCAGACTACGAGTCTCCAACGTTTGTCTTGATGTCCGAGGCCCGAAAACCATCACTTCACTGATTTTGGGCCCCAGGGCCCACTGAGGCCCCAGAGGGGCCCCAGATTAGTGAAGTGACGTTTCCTCCCACGCAAGGACCCCGAAATTCATCACTTCACTAAACCGAGCCCAGGACGAAAGTCAGGGGCCGAATTGCTGCTGTGATGCACCGTGACTGGGCGTCGAGGTCGCCCTGCGCGGGCGCGGAGTTTTCTGCTGCCGCGGCACGCGGCTTGCCGTCCTGGTTTGGGGCGTGTCCTTCGCCATGGGAGGCGGCGCGAGGGCCCGACGGTGCGCCAGGGTCGAGGCGGGGCCTGTCCCTCTGCAGGAGGGGCTGTCAAAAGTAGTCAAAAAAATAGGGAACGATTTTTTGACTATTGGGGAAACTTTTTGGGGAATCTTCTTGGAATATTTTGAATATTTTGGGGGAATATGTTTGGGGAATAGTTTTGGAACTATTGGGGAATTGTTTGAATATTTGTGGGGGATCTTTTTGGCATGTTTTGAATGTTTCGCCCAAAATCAGCCTGAAGGAGGACATGCCCGACCTAACGCGAGGGTTTCTGATCAAGAAGCCGGAGCCGCAGGGTGGCCCCGGAGGTCGTTCCGGCTTCTGGCAGGAAACTTCGGCGCAGGCTGCTCGCTTTCACTGAGCGGTTCCCAATTCGCGTTTCGCGTGCCTGGGTTGTTCGGCTACGCGTAAGGGTGACCCTTCGCCGGAGTGACCTTTGGGGCGGGGCCACGGGGGTATCGCAGCATTTGGCTTGCGCGCTTGGATTTGGCCACCCCGCGGCTCCCGAAGCCGCGCACCAGAGGGCATGCTTGCCAAAGGTCACTCCTGAGTCCAGCCGAGCTGTTCGAAGGAGGAAGGCGGCATGACCCTACAGTGGAGGCCCATGCCGAGAAACACCCTGCTTGTCTCCAAGGTGCCCTGGGTTTCTTGGATTTCGATGGTTTTGCTTTGGAAGGCGCGACGTTCCCACGCCAAAAATCAGTGGATGTGCCGGGGTCTCAGGGTTGGGTTTCTTATGGAATGTTTCTTGTGGATTGGCCTCCACTGTAGCCGACTTGTTCGAAGGAGGAAAGCGGCATGACCATACATGGTTGGAGTTCCGCGCCAATCCAAGAAAAATGTTCGCGCAGCTCCGAAAGCTTGTATGTTTGCGCAGGAGTTCGTCCCGCTAGGTGTGCTGGAGAAGTCGGCGGCTGTCTGTCGGCTGTAGTCGTCTGAGGTCGGCACTGTACTCACGAGCTCGGCGGAGCTTGATCGTCTGCCGCTGCGGGTGCCAGGGTTGGTCCTTTCGAAAGAATCGACCGCCATGTATTGGTCCGCCTTGCATGGGTTGCATTCTTTGGGAGCGCGGTCACATCGGATGACGTTGCATCAGTACCTATCCAAAGGCCGATTCGAAAGAGTCAACGGTGTGTGCCGAGCTCCCGATTCCGTTGGTTACAGCTGAGGGCCAGCCTTTGCCTCAGGCTTGCTAGGTGCTGTGCGAGACGGCATGCCTTGAATTATGTGGCCGCCTGCACGTGGCAAGAAAGTGCAGAGGAGAGGGGGAAAAGCAAGAGAACGAGGAGGCAGGGGGAGAGGAGCAGGGGATGAGGAGAAGACATGAGGATGGATAAGGATAATACGGAGACGGGGAGGAGGATGGAATATCGAGCTGGGCCGACGAGGAGAAGGGGAGCGGACAGCAAGGAGGACGAGCAGGTGGCAGGGGGTAACGTTGGGCAGGGAAGTTGGCAGACGATGAGGGGACGACTGTGGAGGCAGAGGCTCCTCATGATTGAGCACCTGAAAGGAGATAAGGCAACAGGAGAAGAATGAGTGGAAGAAGAGAAGGGGACAAAACTTGGTGGACGAAGATGACGCGTAGGAGTGTGAGGAAGCCGAGCCTGAAGAGCCAATTGACAAGAGGATGACTGACACGAGAGGAGAAGGCGGTGGACGATTCGGAGGAGGAGGAGGTGCTGAATGCAGAGCGCGAGTAATGATGATCACAAGACTGGACAAGTAGGTGACTGCACTGCGGCCCGTGATTTCATCGCGGTGGATGTCTTGGTCTCTTGGATCAGGCTGCCGTCTGCAATTCCTGAAGTAACAGCTGCGGGTGCAGGCAGGACGAAGAAGAGCGACGATGATAGGAGCACGCGAGGACGCGGAGGAGGGCGGAGTGGGAGGAAGGATGAGCATGAGGTCGGATCGGCCGTCCGCGAGAGTTGCTCGACGAGAAGACAGCCGCTTGGCATCGCTCGGACGTGTGCATTTTTCCTTCGGAGAGGACCCTTGAGGAGCATCCTTGATCATTTCGCGAAAACCACGCACGAAACCGAACAACAAACACAGGAAATGGACGTCCGAGCGACGGCCAGGCCGGGGGTTGTAGCATCTACAGCTCCAGCCCTTGGCCCCCGACCAGAAGGGGAAACAAGAAGAACACCAAGGTCCAGACATTCCAGCAGGCGCAGGGGCAGGGGGGCACCAAGAAAGGGCTCGAGAGCAAGGCCGAATCACAGCGTCCATGTGGACCGACGCTCCGTACATCAAGCGGAGCCGGGCGTCCCTCCGCGGCCTACAGACCAAGGAGCAGCAGGCGGAAGTTGGCGTGCTGGCCCATGCCGCGCGAGCTGCGGGGCACGGGCGCTGGCGAGGGAGGGCGGGCCCACCACCAAAGTTGCGCCAACCATGGCGGGGGGGGAGCAAGGCAGGCACGAACGCATGACCGAAACAACGGCTGAGCTAGTACCACCCCACCCCGGGGTAACATACTAGCTAAAACGAGCCGGCCCCCACAATTGTGGGTGAGGCGTGGCAGGGGTAAACGATGTATGGAAGATTGTCCGACAGAAAAGCACACGAACACAACAAAAAAACGTTCTGCGCAGGTGGAAGGGCATCGCCCATTCCTGCAGAAAGCAAGCCTGCTGAATTCACGGGGGTCCGCTTGCGCTTCCAGAATTTTCCCCACCGCCTCCCGAGTGTTTCAGCATTGTTGGCAGCTGTCCGTGCTGGCACATCATGTGGAAGAGAGGGAGGCAGTCATGAGGGAGGTGGGTCCTGAGGTTTTTCGCTGTTTTCGTGTCTCGGGGCCATCCACGGGACCCAGGGTTGCCAGATAGCGATCCAGGATGAATCACTCGTCCTGGGGGAGGGCCCCGGGGTCCAGGACCCGTTTCCCTCGGGACCCGCTTTCGGGGCTCAAGAGACGGGGGTCAGTGCAAACGGGGCTCAGCCAGGGCACCGGGTCCTGCAGGATCCTGCGAAGACCCCTTCTGGCTGACCCGGTTTAGCGAGCCGCTCGTGGCCGCGAGGCGGCCACGCATATTGGCTGACCCGGGTTTGCGAAGACCTGCGTTGCAGTTTTTGTTCCCCTGTATTGCAGATTTGGTTTCCTGCTGACCCGGGGCTGGACTGACCCGGGTCAGAAGATCCCCGAACGGAGGGGGGGGGAAGCGGATGACGCCCGATTGCAAGGGAGGAAAAGGGGGAGGATGGGCTGCTAGATTCCAGGCGTTCAAGCGTAACCGAATGGGTACCCTCGAGGTCCGCGTCTTCACCCGAGGGCCTGGGTTCGCACGGGTTGAGCAGACGAGCAGTTCGGGCAAGCGTCGACCC